AAAAAAACAGAAAAGATCGGAAGAATTTACTCAGAATAACGATCTCGAACATGACGCGCAACGATAGAAACGTATTATGGTAGACGCCGTCAGAGAAAGTCGACAGTATTTGGAAGGTTGAAAGTTGTCCACGAATGTTTACCCGTCCTTTGAGGACAGTCGATAAATGCTAAGTATCAACAGACAGGTTACGGCCCAGACTTTAGATCTCGCAGTTACTCCGAGCTGACACGCAGAATAACGCCAGCAAATGGTCTGTTGGAGAGGAAGATGAGTAAAATTAGCACATAAAAACGGGAATAAGCAACACGTGCAGGGTCAGTCGTCCCCAGTATTAAGAAGGAAGGTAAATACGGTTCAGAGACCTACAGTGGGCACACCCCAACCCCGGTCACTGTTAAATGCATTTCGTCCATTAGGAAAAGTAAAACAAAACTATCGGGCAAAATATATCAACAAATGCGTTTACAGGAAAGTAAGAGTCAAAATAATGTTGCAAAACAGTTCATAAAAATTGATGAACAAGTGTGCATGTTTCAGGCAGCCTGATAGCGTTCCGGACGTTTGGCGTGACGTCTCGATCTTCGGGGTGTAAAAAGTTCATTTTCATCGTCGGATACTACAGAGGCAAAGTCGTCCGACTGCTCGGTGTAGTCTGCTTTTTGGGAAGCATCCTCTCCAACTGGGTGGCCAGCGCCTAGGCCATCTGGGCTAAAAGACAGAACGTTCTGGCTTCCGTCTCCAGATGCAGAACAGGATGCCTCGTTTGAAATTCTGCTCTCGCCATGCGCATTGGGAGTGCTAGAATGACAAAAAATCACACGACAAGCATATATGTTGGTATTTCTAGGGATATTCTTGACCGAACGTGAAGGGTTACGCGGGATGTGGTTGTTTCTTTAAATTGCTAATCATTCCGGAGATCGTAAAAATGAGAAGATGGAAAGCTTAAGACGTAGGAAATAAGACTGTAAGTTGTCCGATTTGATAGTTTTTTGAAGTACAGGTAGGTTAAGCCATCAAACAACTGCATTTATTCTGTGGTCAGGTCAATAGGAATGGGCTACAGGAAATGGTAAAAAGTTTTCCACGGCCATATAATTATACAAAAGCACCAGGGGTCCATGGAACGTTTTAAAGAAAAACATTTGATGCTATAGAGCCCGAGATCTTCTGGTGAATGTCCAGAATAGTAATCGACTTTGACATATTGGTAACACTTAGCGGTGGCAGAGAGGAATTTAATATGCTTAGAATGAGGTCGAAACGGTGAGACAATACCAGCAGTCGTTCAGAAAGTCAATTGCGCGTGAATTAGTTTAAAGTGAGGCGGACTTCCACCTTGCACTCTTAAAGACATCGCGATTAAGATGTTAGTTAGATAGTCCTATCCGGTGACGTCTGCCGTTTACTCCACAACATTGTGGACAGGGACAATTATTTGCGCTGCGTCTACAACACCCTCTTAACCCGCATCCACCTGAAATCCAGTTCCAAGAGGATGTGAGCATCTACGTCATAAAAAACACAGTCATGCATAGAAGGTGTACGGGCGTACACCGGACACATACCTCTCCATGCCTCCTGACACGTCCTCCACCAGGTCAGTTTCGTCCGGGTCCGGCTGAGGACTTTCAACCACCTCGGACACTGGACGCCGCAGAGAGGTAGGCGAGGAGAAGGCAAAATGCGAACTGAAA